ATATCGCCCTTCTCCCATTTCTTGTTATCTCAAAATAGTGAACCTACACATGCCAATACATTTTATTATTTTTGGTCTGTCGTATTTCTTTCACTGGTGTCACATATGGTATTTGCATAAAATAAAAAAAAAACGTCACACACCGTCATCGTGTCATTTGTATATTTAGTCATGTGACCATTTGTTATAAATTCTAGTTTGGAAATTCTACTTTAGTATCAGAGCCAGCAGCGATTTGAGTGGAAGGTAGGGTTTTATGATAATTATAACTTTAGTATTTGTATATAATATATATATCTTAACAATGTAACGCAGGATTGTTTATGTATTTTGCATGAAGGATGAATATGTTAGGTTTAATTAATTTATCTTGTCGTTGAGAGTTTAATCACATGGGCGTTATTATTAATCGCCGTCTTCATTGAAACAGACATCACTGGGCAAAATCGTTGATATGCGATTGTTATACGCAGATATACATTTTGTTTATACTCACGGTATACGTTCAGTATACGCAGATATGATTACGTATACACATCATGAAATATACATACTTACATACATTGTATTGTGACAGTTTCTTTCACCAATGCCCGCCTTGAGTGGCACGCAGCGTATATGTGCGTATTTTACATGCATTCGTGTATTACAATTTCGTTGTTTTACGAAGTCTGTATATTTACGCATACGTGGAAAACTGAATACCGTACGTGTTGCGATCGCGTATCGTATAATAAATAAATAATCGACCTAAAAATGTCTCCTGTGTTGCCGAGTACATTAACTGACCAAGATGAGTCGCAGTTTTTCCCATTGATATCAATTGTTATGTAAGTGGAAATTTCCCCTGTTACCGCAGTGTTTCTATTGAAAATACCGCTCATGTAGTTGGTGTTTATTTTATATTAAACTATGTGGCCATCACAGAAGTCATGGAAACAGAACAATTGTTTGCATAATTTTCAGTGCATTTAGTAACAAATCGTGTATTTTCATGAAATTCTAGTGAGTGTGTCTGCTATAGGCCCGACTGTACAATTGCACGCTCACTCTGTAGAAGATGAACGCCGAAGAAGATCACGGCGTTCATATTGAATCCGTTGGTAATCATATGAGTGAAAACAGACGACGACGAAAAGGGTACGGGAATAGGTCCAGTTATTACATAGCAAACTGAACTCGAACAACAAAGCAAATTTTGTCAATTCAAAAATCGAAAGCTAGATAGCATTCATTACGTACGTAATCAAATCATTAAGATAACAAGAATCAATAAACGATGTTCCATGATCAGATGACATTTTATTAATACCAATTTATTTGAATGCATAAAAATACACCGTAAATGTTTAGTAAATGTATTTAAATTTGTAGATCACGTCCAATAGTCTTGTCGAATACTATAACAGAAAATAACTTCTGTGTCTTATTTTTGTGTATAACGTTTCAGTCGGGAACATTCTGTATGCGGGCTGTACGGTGCGTTTTCCGGAGATACGAACGATTTGACATTGACATTCTATTCATTACACAACAACTTTCGTCGGAAACGCGGATTCAAGACGATGCATCAAATCGTGATATTTGCTTTCTACTGTAAAAATCGCTAGAAATTGGCACATCGAACGGTAATTTTGAGTTAGTCACCTGCTGTTGAAATTCGCGTACACGATTACACTATCCCTATGTCGTTGGACTGCATGACTAGTTTATGTCACTGAAAATAACCAAAACGTTGAGTTTCTTGCAATTTTGGACACTCAATTCAAATCGAAAAATTTAGAAACGGTTGTTACTCATTTCTAAATTGAAAAACTATTCCCTGACTGAATTCAGTCTAACACCGCTTTGATATTAACGTCACCTTAACGTCTTCATTTGTCTCACTATAAACTGGTGAATTCGAACACAAGACAGGAAATTACACAATAGAGTGTACGTTGATTAATTGCAATATCATTCGCAAGCCTGAATGAATGCGAACAATACGAGGTGTGAATATTTTGGCGAGTGTTAAAATACTTTCCTATCGGTTTTGTGCGAGTTTCAATGGACCGACTTGTAGTCTCATACACGTGAATGTGGGCCGATCGGTTCCGGCTCGAATGTCATTTTTGTATGAATAGCCACAAAGAAAGTTAAATGAATTCTCACTGAGACACATGTAACAAAATTGGTCGAATTTGCCGTCATCGGTATTTCTATTCCATTTACCATCGTACGCTGCTTCTCAGATTACGCTCTATAACACCACATACCCACATAGAGAACAGATAACAGTGAGCAATGCTAAACATAGCAATTTCATTTGAAACAACTAGGGATATTTCTGGCTAGTATTCTTTGCAGTTACGTTTCAAATTTGCGATCACAACTTTCATTGTCTTCGTTGAACCATAGACAGCCTACCATTGAACCAACTTATTAATGTTTATGGAGACTTGACTGACGATTCACGTCTTAGTGCATCCACGTCACGTGACATCGATTGTCAGCAGTTAGTTATTCGAGCTTAGCAGCGCATCTGGTTACCGGTTAATGTTTTTATTCGACAAAATCTCAATTTAACTTAATTTATTGTCATAAATACAACATTGAATTACTGCAGTGATATTCATAGTGACACAAATCTTCTGTTTACTGCGGCGAGATTTGCAAAAAATAATTCCTATTGTCTAGAAGCCAATCTATTGGGTCACGACGACCTTCTCCGAATTTTTTTATGAATATAAATAAATGTTTGTCTTACGTTTCGATGACCAACATGATTTATTTTTGAAATTGTAATCAAATAAATCATCTTCTGTGATTCAATGTAATATGCCTATGATTCCTGGCACTTGTAACATACATATAAAGAAAGGGTAAATGTCGGCCTCTTTGCTGGTCCCGTGATTATAAAAAAAACGACTGATCACCGGGATGGCCATGGGTGTAGCAATAACCATTACTTTATCTTCACATGTATATGACTGTAACAGGGCCTCGTGATATTGCTAGGTTGTTGTAGTGAGTTTATAAATAAATGTGTTGCCGTAGCAAACACGAGTAACACTATCGATATTTCATTTATAAACCAAATACTAGAACCTAGTAATATTAAGAGCACCTACGGCGCCATGGACGAAATTACTACGTGACTGGTGAACCAGAAATGACCTATAATAAGTGACCTGTATGCAAATGTTGACAAATCAGCCAATGACAGCTTCAAATATGACGAGTATACGCAAAATATTCGTAGATCTACGCCGATGTTAAGTGTGTGCACTGGTTTGTTGCGTGACCGTATACGCTACGTATACGTGGATCTGCGTCAGTATTAACTCTGTGCGCTGGTTTGTCACGTGTCCGTATATACTACGTATAGTAGCATGTCCCAGTCTGATGAGGTCAGACGACCACACCCATATACAAATGCCCAAATTTTTGGTAATTTTCGTCAAAAGTCAAACTTGCTGCCCAAAGCTCATGACGAATCAGGATGTACTATGCATAATACATACAAAATATAAAGTTTATTAACTATTCATGATATTAGATATTTTTGTTAAAAATCCAAGATGACGACAAAATTGGCTTCATTTGTATGCATTCCACACTGAGGATGTATACGTTTCTTGAAATATTACATGGCTATGTCACGTGGTTCATAGCCTATTGGGTGGGGTCGTCTTACCTTATCAATATGCATAACTATAATATGTCAATATATTTAAGTAAACTGTATTTGACCTCATGGTACTGACCAATCAAACTAACCTAAATAATGACAACCACCAAAATTGCTTTTTGAAATAGTAACATTGCATTTAAATATACTGTAGATGGACGTTATGTTGATAATGTTTTTTCCCATGTTTACCAATTTTATTCAGTTGACTAGCCTAACATATTTTATCTTTATGTTAGTAAATGTTTTTATGAATGGTAATAATTATGTTGCTGTCTGTTCAATGGTACCCCAATGGTGTATAGTTGTGAGGTTGTATACATTTATGAAATGGGGAGATTTATTATTCCGAGTATGTGTACATGTGTAACTCAAAGTAATTCATCTAACATCGAGTCAATGTTTTTGTGCTGATTACACATTTTTTGACCTAAAATTCAAAAACTCCGTAGAACAGAAATCGTTTTCGATAGAAATATGTGAACGATAAAATGTAACTTTTATACTCTTTCACATGGAAGTGTAATTCAAGTATCATAATTTTTATAATTTATATTTGTGTATACTTAAAACTCAAATATTTTGTAATTGTATGTCACTTCGACTGTGTAACTATGTACTTCTTTTTTAAACACAGATCCATGTTTATATAGTCGTCCTACTTACCTACTCACATACATACCCTACCTCCCCTACCTAATTCCATACCTACCTTTCTACGCACATAGTAATCAAAACCCCATCGCCTGTAATTGAAAAGCTGATCTGCCCAACTGCTATTGATTCGATCATCTCTGCGTCACAATCCATACAGGCAAATTCATTAAATTACTTTCTGTATTAACAATATAGCTTATGGTAAAAACTAGTGAATACTTTACATCAAATTATATATAACAAATTGATTAAGATGACGTATGGTGTATGCATGCAACATATGTGCTTGACATATTTCCATAGTCATTTGACACAATTCTAGCATTATTACACGTACATTATTAGTCATGTTTCCAAAACGTGTTATTATATGTACATGGTCCCGATTTAGAATCCGTACAAATGATATGATATTACTCGTAACGTATCAGCTCATACGCATTTTAACAACGGCAAACCAATATTACAATTATATATATATATATATATATATATATATATATATTGTCATTGAAAATTCAAATCACCACGTCCGTCTGTCTGTCTGTCTGTCTGTCTGTCTGTCTGTCTGTCTGTCTGTCTGTAATAATCATGTTAGAAGACTAATTGGTTGAATTGGCTAGCTAATAATTACGTGAGACATTTCATTTCAGACATGCAAATTGTGAACATGGAAGTGACCATCAAATGCATGCAGTTTACTTGCTTTGTACTGTTGGTTCTGCATTTACAAGGAAATCTAGCAACGCCGTCAAAGGGTAAGTTTTCTCATACAGACGGTATAACAACAATAATGATAGTCGGTAAATATTGGACGTTGACAGGCAGCTTATCATCAGTTGAATACATTAAAAACGTAATATTCGGCTTACTAATTATTTAAAGCGTCATGAATTTGCTATGATTAGCCCAAAATATAGAATCTATTAAAGTAAGAGATTGGGTCTACATATTAACTCATGTGACAATATCGAACCAGCAAATGCATTATATACATAATATAAAAATAAATATAACCATTACTAATGTCAGCGTGCAGGAACAAACCTTAATTTGAGCGCACTTCGGAACAAACTTTCAAACAGACGATAAATAAGCACGTACTTCACTTCAAAAACTGAAAAAGAAATATTTGTTCATCATTTTAGACTTACGTTTTTATATTGCGGTAAAGTTTTAACGCGTAAGGTTATCTTGTAATCCGCTGTTCATTACAACAATGATTGATTGCTTATGCTTATGCACAAGGCCATTGGCAAACATTTGGTTGAATAACTGTAAGTTCGGCGATTATATAACGAGGGCAAATAGACGAATCTGACATCGTCCTCAATATGAAATTGATTGCGTTCAACACAGTATTTACAAAATGTGTGTCCAAGGGGGACATTTTCATGCATTCATTTTCAGTACTCATATTGTTAAAAGAACAATTACGCCTTGTAATTTCAAATATATAACTATGACTAAACGTGGGGAACAACTTGCATCGAATACCGCGTGATCATATGGCATAATTTGTATACGAGATGCCTGCAAATTGTATTTATTTACTTTATTATGTACTAGGTTGACATTTATACTTCCAATGGACGTGCGTAAACAACAGTGGATTTCATGTATTTGACCTTATATGACCTGTCAAAGTCTTTAGTATCAATGGCTCGTCCTTATATTTCTCTATTTAAGTAATGTTGATGTCCTGAACTTTGCCCCATTAAACTCAGCCGTTGTGAGACCATTTAAGGTTCTGAAATGTATAATGCACGTGCCCCATAAATAAACCCGAACTTGATGTCGTGGTACGGAATCCATTAATTACATTACTTTTAACGAGTTCATTTTCTATAACTCATGTTCAAATGTATATGTCAAAAGTATATTAATTAAAACATTACTCGTGAATACCCAAACTACTGCAAACAAGTTCCCCATAGACGCAGTAAAAAAACATAAAGTGTGCTTAAATGATACTGTTTCATTATAAAACATGCGATGTATTAAAAGTGATCTGTCCTCAACATATTGTGACGTAAAACTACTAAGTCTGGGTATTTATGTGTGTTTAACACCATTACAAGTGTGCCTAAATTACCATAGCCTTTTTTAAAATTACGAAATAATTAATTAAGCTGTCTCCAGGAGTCGCTTTTATGTAGCGCACTACACATCGAAGCCGTCACTTCCTTTGTTTTTCCCACAGGCCTTGTCTGAACTCTTTTTTGAATAATATATTCTAATGAATAAATATTATCGTCAGTAGAATAAATCTCTTCATCTGGTCATTATACGGACCGCAAAGTCTTAGAGTCCTAGAGACTTATGTGACAGGCAGTCTGTACTTACAATATACACCTGAATAGAGAGTTCAGGTTGTTATACTTACGTCGGTGAAGTTAGCATTAGCAATTAGCAAGTTAGCATTTCTGTTAGACAAATCTCCCTAACCAACAAAGTGAGGACCTTGTTTTTAGCTAAATTTCGGAAGACTGCTTATATATTTATTCTGCAGTTATTTTTTGCAGTATTCATACATAATCTCATAATTTGGGATATAAAATGGTCAGTTATTTTTATAATTAATTCAATTTTTATTTTATAACTAGACAAAATATTATAAACGTTAACAGTATGATTCATTTTAATCATAGGCACTACTGTATGTGTAAAATAGTCCTGCTTTACTAGTGTTCACATTGCCTTGTATTGGGAGTTTAATTGTATATTTAATTGATTTAGAGAAATACTCTTACCAAGCTTGTTTTGCTTTACAGGTATATACGACTACAATGATGTACTTCACAAGTCAAATCTGTTCTATGAAGCCCAGCGGTCTGGGTATATATCAGAAGCCACAAACCGTATACCGTATAGAGCAAGTTCAGCTTTAGGTGATCAAGGATATTTTGGAGAAAACCTCACAGGTGGCTGGTATGATGGTGAGTGTTGTGTAAAATTTATAGTTTAGAGTGTTGCGCGGATTGATAAGTAAATGATTTTACATTTTGAAATGTTTTTGCTGTTGCTTCTTGAAGTGAACCTACATTTCTGTATCAGAACAAAATATGGTGATTTAATTCGCCAAATTGCTTGACAACTGACAATGTATCAACAGCTAAAGCAATTAAATGCAAAATAACAATTCATGTCTACTTAGCAAAGGAGGACAACTCAAATAATATGAATCTTTTTATTTAAGCGTGTATTGAGTATTATTTGGAGTATACATTTTTTCATAACTACATTCAGAATCTCAACATATACATTCCATTGCGTACAAATAGGAATTAATCACAAAAGCCCGTCGACATATTGGCAGGCATTTGCGGCATTTGACAGCGAATCTTTGAAATGATTTATTATTATTAGGTCTTAACCACGTCAAACACGGGCTACCAATGGCAGCTAGTGTTACAAACCTGGCTTGGGGAATGATTCGGTACAAAGAGGCTTATATCGATGCTGGTGAATGGGAATACGCCTTGGAAAACATCAAATGGGCCACAGACTACTTTATAAGGTGTCACAGTGATACGGAAACATACTATTATCAGGTATATATACTCGATATACTGGTCATATACAAACATACACGGTTACATAGCACAAGAAAAATGTAATGGACATTACGTTCATTGATCCGTTTTTACAATTATTTTACAATTAAGTTATGCTAATTAATGAGGTCACCTGATGTGTTGCTCACGTGTCCAATGGCTTCAATACTGCGCTAGTTGCATGTCCCTATCTGTAATGGTACTTGAGATCATACAATTATGCTTATTAATGAGGTAACATGACAACTACGTCATATTACGTCAATTAAACAAGCCTTTATATGAATTAGTTGGTACTTGATTGTGTTACAAAAATGAGAAATGGCAGTCATAGACCGCTAAAGTTCTTTTTGTGTGAATATTACAGTACATATTCTATATATGCTAAAGAAAATAATTGGAGGGTCGTAGACCCCTAGAAAATGGTGCAATTGGGCACTTATCAAATCCAAGTTTGCAGTCGAGCCACGTGACTAATCAATACACTGTTTCAATCACTTTGTAGAGCGGCATAAGTGGAATTAGTACCTCAAAATTAGATCAAACGGCGAAAAAATATAAACATTACAATATTAATAGGCTTTTGAGCAATAACAAAGGCAATAATAAAACAGCAAGAACAAACCCTAAATACATGATTTCATATTCATATTGCATCGTTTTATTTTCTCGTTGATCTACGTTGTATGTATTCGCTAACAGGTTGGTAGCACTGATCTAGAAAGCAGTTATTGGGGGAGACCGGAAGATATGACTATGGATAGACCACCAGCCATGGTGAATGCTTCTTTTCCAGGCTCAGATGTTACTGGTGAAACGGCTGCCGCAATGGCTGCCTCGTCAATCTTGTTTCAACAGTCCGGTAAGGACACACTGTCTCCACATTGCTCGGTCTTACTAGATGGGTAAAACATGTTTAATCTAGATTACACAATCAATTTCATATTCTTCGGCTCCACAGATCCCACATACTCGACCACTCTGTTGCAGCATGCCAGGGAGTTATTCACGTTTGCCAATACATATCGCGGTCTGTATCCCGGTCAAGTTTATAGGTAAACATTAAATAAGAATTCTCCATTTGCCATGCAACATGCTTTGCACAATATTCGCATATTAGAGTAGTATTTATGTATATATCTGACTAGTTTTTTAATTGAAACTGAGGAAGGGAAGCGCATTTTCGAGTTTAAATCAAACCAGAAATGTAATGTAATGCTGTTACATAAACTGATATATTTGCTAATTTACATACTGTCAGCTTTCCGCCATACTATATTGTTAAATGGTACGAAACTTACTGAAGTCTGTGTATAAATGTTTGTCAAATGTACATGAGCCAGCATACAAACACTCATATAGATAATTAGTTGTTAGAATCCTGCAAAGTCTAATGAAGCTATTATAATGAATTTAGCTCCAGTGATTATGGTGACGAACTGGGACTGGCTGCGTGCTGGTTGTACTATGCCACCAACAACATATCATATATCCAAACAGCAGAAGCTCTATATGACGAGTTCAACCTTGGAACGCCATCATGGGCATACTCAGTTAAGAATAAGAATCCCGCTGTGCAGGTGAGGTATCACATACAAAATTCTTATTCTCTAAGACAGACCAGAAACGGAAACGAGACAAAAATAAAAGATTTTTCAAGTTAGCGTGGGGGAAATAACGCTGCTAAGTATTATCGTCCGGGAAAGCTATTGTTTAAGCTAGTCTGTGATTGGTTGCTGGCAAGTTTGGGGGATTTTGACCAGTTTGTGACGTAGGCTCGACTTGGAGAATCGCAATATATAAGAAACGCTGTCAAAATACGTACATCATTCATCTCCTTAATTGTTGCTGCTGACATTTGTATCGTATTGGCATTGGTATTGTTGGAGTAAAAGTACGATATCTTCGAAATCGACAGAAGATTTATTCCACGCTTTTTTTTTCTCATTAGTGTTATGTGGGTTTTTTAAATAAGTAAGTAAATAAATAAATAAATAAATAAATAAATAAATAAATAAATAAAATATGTAATTATGTATTCTTTGCACATAAATGTAAATTATGTGCAAATATGATTATACATCAGTTATTACATGCGATTACGTTTATGAATATTAATTCAGATCACGTGAACCGATGTTGTCAAAACTTCGATGAATAGTGGAGAACCATTTTCTTTCCTTTACATTATACACGACGATCCAGTGCATATGCATGGACTATAAACCCCATAAACTCATCTAAGGGTTCACGGACTTTATGTCTATAAAAATAGTGTTCATTCAAAACCCAAATGATTCAGTGTGGAAACATATATGAAACAGGGACATGCTTATAAACACTAAAACAAAAATAAATAAATATTTTGCTTCTATGGATAAGAGTATTTCAAATGTCGTCCAGTATGTATACTTTTATAATTTCTATTCAAAATTGCGATGCAACAAAGACCGCCGAAATGAACTATAATAGCGGTGAGAATAAATTTCTGTCGAATTTCACTTTAATTTACACCTCGGTGGAAAAATTTAAACCTCTGTGAAAATATTTAAACCGCGTTAAGAATAATTTTCTCTGTGGTGGCAATATTTAAACCGCGGTGCAAATAATTTTCTACGC